CATTTTTTTTGGTAAAATTAGACCAATTATAATGTCATTGATCGCCTTATGTCTTATATACAGTAAAATTAGTAAAGGAAAACCATTGATAAGTGATTAAAACTGGATTAAAATGGCATAAATTACTTTTTTTTTTTTTTTTTTTGTTGAAATTTGTCATCATAAATTACATTTTTTCAGTTGATAAATTATTTAATAGGTCACAAAAAAGTTTTAAAATGGCATAAATTACATTTAGGCTGATAATTGACAACATCATTTGGCTAATTCGCCGGAAAATAGTTTGATGTAATAATCGTACAAATTAATCACTCTTAAGGGTAGTAATCAACAACATTTTATATTTCTTAAGGTACTAATTAACAGCATTAATTATTGAGGATAGTAATTCACAAAACACTCTTTTTAGGGTTAGTAATTAACATATTTTCCTTTTATATTCTTTATTAGACTCTATCCATGGTCTATTGCCCTTGCCTCGACGTTCAACTCTATGTAGAAGAGATTGAATGGGCAACATTTTTCTTAAGTTGTATCTTCCTCTATGAGTCTTCGTTTAGCTAAAGGGCCTATTGTTTTCTACTTTTTTTAAGAACTATTTCCTTAGATTGTTTATCTCTTTCTTTTGTTGATAAATATTTTTCTTATGCTCAAAGCTTCAACACCCGATGACACTTCATTTAAGGGCCTTTTGTTTCCTATTTTTTCTAGTAAGAACTGTGTTCTTAGGTTGTTCGATTTCTTTCTTTTGTTAATAGATATTTTTGAAAGGCAAAGCTTGACATCCTCTCTACCACCCCCCACCCCGCATGTGCGGTGAAGCATGATTTTGATTATTTCCCTAAAGTCCACGGTGGTGATGAATTGACCACCATCGTGAACTCACATAATGTGTTACATAAATTATTATGTACATGAGATGTAGCTGATGTAGTGATTTCCAAGAATAATAGGGGAGCCTTTGGGTAGATCAAGCTATCAAGGTTAAGAACAACCCTAAATTCATATCCATACAAGGATGTATGGATACATTAATTTTTACCCATTTACATATGATTTAGGGTCAATTGAAAAGCTCCTTAAAAATTAGAAGTATTTTATGCATAATTTTTATACTGAATGTGCAAAAAAAAAATCAACACAAATTTGATGTGCATAAATTTTGTACATAATGTGCCCAATTTCTGTTCTTTCCAAAATATTGAAAATTTTTATCAGCTCTAAAATCAAATTTGCACATCTAATGAAGAAAATATGCACATTTATCCTTCTTATCTTTCTCATCGGATCCCAACTTTATATATCATGTTATCAAGTTCCTTAAGGGTTCATCAATTTAGGTAGCATTGCATAAATACTTCATATATAGAAGGGGTTTTGCCTTTATTTTCCTTCCCCCTTCCCCCCGTGGGAGGAGTGGGGGATGGAGTTTGGGAGAGGGTGGGGTGGTGAGGGTGGAGGTAATGATATAAGTTCATCTCTTAATGTTTCTGATTGTGAATTGTACAAATTTTGTCAATTACTATCCCTAAAAATAAAAGTTGTTAAAAAGTGATTAATTTGTACAATTTTTCGGTGAATTAGCCTAATTATGATGTCACTTATCACTTTAAATCTATTTATATGAAAGCTAAAAGGAAAACGACTGATAAATAATTAATTTGGGACTAAAATGCCATTAAATACATTTTTCGGCTAATAAGTGAAGTCATAAATTACATTTTCCAACTAATAAGTGATTAAGAGGTCACAAAATGGGATTAGAATGACATATACTACATTTAAGGTAATAAGTGACATCATAATTAGGTTAATTTGCCGGAAAATGGCTGTAGAGAGTAATTGTACAACTTAATCACTTTTAAGGGTAGCAATTAACAACATATTTGACTTTTGAGGTTGTAGTTAACAATTTTGTTTTTTCGGGGTAGTAATTGACAAAGTACCTTTATTTTAGGTAGTAATTGACAAATTTTCCCATTATTATCTCTATTGTAGGATATATAAGCTTGTCTTTTCTATCTCTATGGTGAAAAAAATGTTCTCTTGGTACCAGAAACCCTCTAACAATTTGAGATCATGTTATTTAATGCAGCACCGCTTTCGGAAACAGATGCTGCTTTGATGGATCATTAAATGGGTGTCATGCTGTTTTCTGGTTCTGCAATATGCTGTCGTTTCATCCCTACATCTGAATGCTGTTCGGTTGAAGTGTTGATACTACATTTTTCTGCACATTATGCTAATTAGTGAAGATATGAATCCACAGATGCGGGAATGTAAGTTTCATTAGAACCCAAAGTCTGCCTATAGTGCTAATCAACCAAAGGAACAATAGGGTCAGCCTAGTTAATTTTGACATAACATGTTACATGGTCGTAAAAGCCTAACGGTTGTAGCTGGTAGCTGGTGCAACATAGTCAGATATATCTTTTAATTGCGGTGGTTTGACACTGAGGATTGTTTAGAGATGTCTTCCATCATGCAGCATAGTTGTTTAGCTTTTGTTTGACTGAAGTTTTGCAGATGGACTAGATATGGAGCGAGCTATATGATCTGTTTGTTTTGCGGTATATCTTGCATTTGGTTTCAGAATTCCGAGGGTGCCATATTGTGTTTTTTTGTGGGTAAGAATGTTCATAATGGATTACCTTTGGGGTGGAAACTTTCGGGTTTGATGATATTTGGCAGCTGGACATCATCAAAGTAGGCTTTTTATTGGTTTCAGAACATATTCTTCACTGTGGTTGGTACGTTGGCTTTGGGTTGCTGTTTGTATCTATATGATGTTTGTACCCAACAGAATGATGACTTGAATGGTTCAAATTTTTCTTGTGTTTGAATATATTGTATAACATTTGTTTAGAAATGTAACTCTAATGGAGTTTGTATCCTATTACACTTTGGCTGATGCTAGTTTAAACAAACATGGGTTATGTTGAAGATCACAAGAAGATGATGTCTGCAATTAGGAGTATGATAAGGCACTCCGTTATTAGATTAATGGCCATTGCTGTATAGTTCTTCATTTTGCTTCTTTTGGTAAGCATATTTGAGTTTGTCTTTGTAATATAAGCTTTGTTGAGAATGATTTCACTGCTCAAACGTCAAGATGTAAATTGATTTATTTTTTGACGAGGCCACAATGAACCACTGCCAAAAAAAAAAAAAAAAAAAAAAAAAAGCTGTTGTGTACAACAATGTTTTTTATTTATTTTTTGGGTGGCAATAAGCCCCTCATCTTCTAACATTTAAAACTTTTAAATTATCTATGAACAATTCAACATTTGGAGGATATTTACATACAACGTGATCAATCATTTAACAATTTTTTTTTTCCTATAAAACCAGGTAACAACTTGTAACTAACTCCTAATTACAAAACTAATATACTTAGCACAAATTAAATAAAAAAGGGAAAATTTGGGTTGTCAGATTGGTTAGGCAGTTGGGTACGTCGCCTAGGTTCATGACGGCTAGGTGGGGCTGTGGATTTGAATGACTAGGGTGAGAGGTGTGGTCAGAGGCTGGGTGGAGGGGTTAAGCAGCTAGGTGTGGGGGATGGGTGGATCATTGCTAGTCGGGGGGTAGGCAGGGAATGTGGGCTGTGGAGGTTTCGCCGGCAGGGGTAAGGTTTGGGTGGGGATTCATGATAGACGATAGACAAGGTGGCTATTTTTATATATAATTTTTTAAAAAAAAATTTTGACCAATCACGTATTATCACGTGTGCAATTAATTCTATTATAGCAGGTTGGTGACTAGATAGACTAAGTTAAAATTTAAAAAAAAATTAAAAATAAAAAAAAAAAGAAAGGAAAATTTGAAAAATACCACCTACCATTATAGTCATTTTAGTATTAACCAACAATAGTTTTTTCTTTTTTTACTTTACCAATAACAATTCTTCAAAACGTCAAAAATTACTACTTGTTTGCCCAACTCCTCTATAGTGATGTCATAGTGGGCCCCACTCTTCATTTTCCCTCATTTTCCCTTTCTCTTCTCTCAATTCTCACCTCTGTTCTTTCCTCTTCTTCCATCTCTCTTCTTTAACCCTCATTGCTGATCTCTCACCCACCCAAATTGAAGGCCAATTGATACATTCGTCACTCTTTTCTCTCTCTTTCTTTCTTTCATAAAATAGGGTTTTTCATCACTGTTCACAGAGAAATAGGGCAGAGGGGGGATGGGGGAGAGGGACCAAAAGCGAAGCAAAAGCAACAGCATTGAAAACCAAGAGGTAACTTGTGTTTTTTAAGTGATTTGTGGTTAATCCTGGAATCCGTACAAAAATAACCGTAAATCGCAACCTTAGTTAGCAATAAATCACGAAATAATAGCTAATTTTGCAACTAACCCTTAAATCAAATCCACAAATTTATTTTATTAACTCTAATTTCAATTGAAAAACCCCTAAATTGATTTCATAAACCCTAATTAAACATACCTTCTTTATAAAATGATTATGGATTTAGTGTTCATTGTTGTTTGACAGGAGTAAGAATGGTTACTTAAAACATTAATTACCTCACTAATCACAATTTTTTCGCAAATTAAGTAGAAAAGGGAAAAAAGAGGGAAGAATAGAGTGAAAATCGAGAGAAGAGAGGGGGAAAAGGAGGGAAATAGAAGAGGGGGAAGGGGTGGGGGGCATACATGACATCACAATAGAAGATAGAAGAGTTAGGCAAACAAGTGGTAATTTTTGATGTTTTGAAAAATTGTTGGTAGTAAAGTTAAAAAAAATAAAAAATTAAAAAAAATTGTTAGTAGTTATTACTAAAACAACTATAACAATAGACGGTATTTTTCAAATTTTTCTTACAAAAAGCCCCTAAAGTTCTTATTTCATAGCTATAAAGAATTGTACTAAAAAGAAAACCAGTCAAACATGTGATTATTAAAACTTTTTTTTTTTCCTTTTTTATTATTTACGAAAGTTTTTCATATTTCATTGTTTAAAAGAAAAGGTAAATAGAAAAGAAAAAAAAATCAAATACGGCAAATTATAAGCTCAAGGTCTTTGTATCACTTTGCAAAGCATCTCAATCTCAAATAATCATACAAGGTCTTTCAACAAATGCTAATACACAAGTCAAAACATGGGAAGCAGAAACTCCCGGTGTTAAATAAATAATATAAATTCACTAAGGATGAAAACACTATCAAAATTTTCGGAAAGTCCAGCTCACAAAGACAAGATCGATGGACAAGGTACCAACTCTTAGTCATCTTCTTCCATTGGCACTTCAGGTATATCAAACCTGTCTTCCTGGATTGGCTTATTGATAACAGATACTGAAGAGTGTAATAATAAGTCAAGGGAGACCAGCAACTTGCATGAACAAGTGACAGCTATTCATGAAAAAGGGACTAAATCTAGAAAAACTGCAAATATGAAGAAACAAAGATGACATTAACACGAAGCAAATCACTATAAGTAATACCCTATATTCAGTAGGATGAGAAGCTGATAGCATACAAGCTCATAGAACTTACGGTTTCACACAGTATTTTCCATCAAAAATGAATGCTCTGATAAAGCTTGATACCTTAAAGCAAACAAAACCATATTTACATTTGAGGGAGAAGGGAGGGAGTATAGTGGTGCGATAGAGCATGGAAGGCACAGCTCAAACAGGGAAAGTGGCATATGATAAGCAAAAATCTTATCAAAGAAGTCAAGTGCAGGATTTTGAATAGAATGTCAACTTCTGATAAGAAAGATATAGGGACGTTGCAGCATACATTTTCAAGAGGTCAAAATGAAATACTCCATTTGTCACAAAGACTGCCACAGAAGCAATTCACTGGACAGACAACAGATAAAAAACTAGCTAATTCAAGGCTAATCTGCAAATGATTCCGTAAAAGCATGAGTTGTAAACACTATGGACCAGGAAAGACTACTAAAAGTAGATGAAAATAAATTGACACATTTCCACAAAAGATTTTTCTAAATCGCACCAGTCCCATGTCTCCCAATGTTATAAAACCTCCTGCTCCGAATAAAGAATGAAGACCAGAATTTAATGAAACACTAACCCTTACTATTACATTTACTGCCTACCTCCACATTCGGTATTCTCTTTGTTTTCTAGGACCTCTAAAATTAGACATACATCTTTGTATCCATCGTCTGTCCTTATTCCCATTCAATGCAAAACACGGTTTTCCCCTCTCTCCATTCCATTAACCATATCTGAAATCAACCGTTCGAATCAAAACAACACCCACTCTGTTTTAAATCATTTTTCGGTCACATGTAAGTGTAACAAACATGAGCATAAATTAAGATGTGTAGAAGGAGCAATCTAGCAATGTGTTCTTTTTTTCAAATCATATCTGTGCTCCCAGCATCCAATCTGCTAAGTCATAATAAATACCAAAAGTGTATTCAGCTATCGTTGATAAACCCCATCATTTTGAATCAATTTACTAGGTGCCAAATAGCCCTAATAAGTTCTTCAAATATACCCACCACTGAAGATTAGCTTAATCTAACTCCAACAAGAATAAAACAAGATTCTTGACGAACAAGTTGGGCTCAGCTCTCCTAGCACTATAATATGCTATCCAGCAAACATGAGACATGTAAAAAGCATCCATATATAGTATGCCCAATCAAGCAAAAACAAACACTACATGATTAGATTCAAAAGAGTATTGGGAAAAACTATGAAAGAAGGTAATATGTTGGCATAAGCATAGCCACATAAAGGGGAGAAAAACCATAAACACGATATGAAGCAAAGGATACACATCATCATAGAATCATCTTCTTTTTCACCGCGATTACGACTATTATTAAGCTCTCTAGAAATCTCAGGTGTTACCTGCAATAAACAATAATAGAACACACCTCAGCCAAATAAACATACTATGACGAATAAACAAATCCTTGCATAGGTGGAAATTGCTCTTACCAAATAGTGCCTTTGGTTTTGCATTAATATATTAAGATTATCTTTATCTTCCTTTCGTAATTCATGTTTGTACCTGTTGTAAACACAAAATGCCATGCCACCATTGCATTAAACAGATTTCAAATTGATAAAGCACCAGATAGTTTTCAACATAAAACACACATTCACGCAAGACATTTTAGAACAAATAATATCTTGAGGAATAAAACCTACTTTGGCAATGAAGACATATTTAAGGCTTCAAGAAGCTTTGCATCCTAGATAACATTTATCACAGGGTACTAAACTAGAAGCAAATGCATAATTCAATAGCATGTTGATCAAAAAGTCCTAGTAACAGAATAGTACAAAATATTTCCCAGGAAAAATTTGTCAGTCACATGGCCACATGGGATTATTATCACTTTTTATAATCCCAAAAAGAATTGAACCTATGTTTGCCCAGTTATTCAAACACAAGAATATCTTCAATACCCCCTAGATGCATCACTTTTTAAAACACGGACTCCTAGGCAAATTTAAGAGATGGGAGAAGAAAAAAAGAGTATGACAGAGTGAATATATACCTATACTAAAGTAATTACAGCTAATAGAGCATTACTGCCCACATGTCAAATTCTCATATAAAATTTTTCAGCCAAAACTAGTAATGATTTTTTTCAAAATCAATAAAGGTTTGGAAATGGTAGATTATTTACAATTTCCTAAAAGATTTTATGACTAACTACACAATTTTCCACAGAGTAAAAAATAAAATAATATTGGTGATTAGACTATTTCATTTTTCTAGAAATTTAATATTTTATACATTTTATAGTGATTGTATGATTTTGAGGTTTCCACTCTATCAATTCTTCAATTTTTTTTAATAAAAGAAAAACCACTAAACTATTGCTAACATCTTAGAAATAAGTTTTAAATTTTATTTAAAATATATAAAATATATAAAATAAGTTTTAAATAAATATATAAATTTTCAGTTTTAAATATATAACAATATATCTCTCGTTATACCTCAATTTATGTAATGAGAAGGCTCAGGTTTATAATGTTTTGCTTAAATTTATTATACTACTACATATTACACACAAATAAGCAAAAAAAAATTATTGTTTAAATCGTGCATTACACAGCACTAACCTAGTTTATTAACTAAAAAGGAAATGATGCCCCTAATTTAAAACTTCCTTATTTAAAAAGTGATGCATCTAAAACGAAACAGAGGAAGAAAAACAATAATGTCCATTAGTCCTACATATCATTGTCCAAAAAACTGTTTTTCATAAGGCTCATAACATAAAATGTGACAACTCATAAAAAGAAAAAAGAGATACAAGAAGTTCATGAAGGATTGAAATCATTGTCCAATCATTAAATGCTTCATTTAGTAAGATGTCATAGAGAAAGATATTGCAAAGAAAATCAAGAATAACCATGAGAATTTGTAATCTTCCAGAATAGGAAAAAAAAATTAAATAAAAAATAAAATAAAAAACTGGGAAACATGTATGTCATTGACAGTAAAATTGTTCTCTTTTTCATTGTGTGTGTGTGTGTAGTTGGGGAGGTGGGGGGAGACAGGGGATAATTACTTACCTCTGAACAAAAGCAAGAAGAGTCTGATGCCAGATCACAGGCATGACCCGTGAGTCTTCTAGAAATCTCATGAAATGTGCAACCAAAGCATCCAGCACACGATAAGGCAAAGCATACTTCTTGTCAATAAAAATCTTGATTATATAGCTGGGTTAAGGTTACAAGTCAAATCATATATTAGAAAGATTCACAAAGTCCCAATAATTTAAGCCCTTTAATGGGTTAGAACACCAAATCTTGTTATCAAATCATAGCAAGTAAAAGGAAAAAGATGAAATGAGTCATTCTACAAAAAACTCTTAGGAAAGAAGTAGAAAAGAGTAATTGTTGGAACAGATTTGTGACCAAGGTGTCTATAGTGAGCATAAGCAGGTGTTTTATATACTGCTATAACAATGTAAAAGGTCAGTACCAGGGGAAGCATTATTTCAATCAATATGGCACACTAAGTCAATACATGTTCACCTTTCCCAAAGTTAACGTGTAAAAAGCAAAAAGGGAAATATTCATTAGGAAGAATTTAAAACAATGAAAATTTAAGATTTATATTAGATAGATGGAAAAGAAATTATAAGACCCCTTATAAATTTACATTTTAACAAGTAGAAGGGTACATAACAAATCTTTTGGAAAGTTTTTTCTTCTATAAGAAAGTTCACCACTAACGGGATCTAAGAATCAGATACGGCTATACGAGGGCCAATAGATTTTATCAATATATAACCCTTTACCGGTAAGAATGCTTTGCCATTCCAAATTCCATAGCAGAGAAGAATAAGAAACATATATTGTACTTGTTATCAAGGACAACAAATCTTGTTATCAAATCCATGTATATATTAGATTCTTTTTTCTAGAAGAGGAGTGAAAAATCGGTGGATAAATTAAGAAATTAAGTAAATAGGTGGGTGGGTATTAGAAAAAGGTGAATTAAGTAAAAGAGTGAAAAAGAGTTAGCATTGTAAGATAAAGCATAGAGTAGAAACCAAAACATTAAGACGGATTTTACCTGGTAGTCCCACAGTAATCCATCTCAGCTAGCCTCAACAACGCAACACTGCATATTCATAGGATTTCATGTTATATAAACAGCTACAACCTCACATGCACAGTAAACAAGAGATATACATTAAAATCTAGCAGCAAGCACACACATGCATAAAGTATTTGAATGACACAATATATACAGGTTTTTTTTTCTAGGGCAAAAAAACGAGGTCTTCCAAATTTTCGAGATTACAAGCCCAGGATCAATTACAAGTTTTACAGCTCCAGTCTCCATAGAACAACAAATGGAGATTTACAAGGCAATATTTAACTTAGGCATTCTTCAATTTTAGAACCACAATTTGGGGTCTAAGGTATAATGCAAAAAGCTGCAAATGATCACAATGCCAAACACTAATTATCCTAGCAAAATCTAAGTAAAAAAACAGCACGTCTAATTTCATCCAAGTCTATCCATGACTCTCACAATTGGAAGCTTGTACAGCTAATATATTAAAAGTTAAAAAGCTTCTTGTAGATGTACCTGTCCTCTTTTTGCCACCTTTGCCCTCCCCTTTTCTTCACACCCTTTAATTTCATATTTAGACCCAAAGCATGACATAATACTTAAAGATCCAAGAGTAAAGAACATGTCAATGAGTAGCATAAATTTCAACAGATTATTAGAAAGTGGCTTGGCACTGGTAGTATCATTTGACACATTTAAACCAGTGCCGGTAAAGCAAGTATAACTATAGAATTCATATAAAGAATATCAAATCTTTTGTTTACAAAAAAAAAAAAAAAAAATAAGATTGATTTTTCCAATTTAACACAATTTGATCCACAAATTCACCAAATTAGCATTTCCTTAAGTCCATTCACTTACATCCTAATTAGGGCCAGATACCAAGGTCTACAAAAAGTGGTGGAAAAAGGAAACAATAACAACAATAAGTTGATTATGTCCAAGAAAAAAAAAAAAAAAAAAGTGCTAAAATATGTTATGAGCCAGTCACAAGTTAATGATATCTACTCTTTTGTACTTACAGCACTTCTCATTTCATGATTGCCAACGCATTATTTTAATTACTTATATCTCCTACTCCCTCCGTTTTCCTAAAACCTGTTCACTTTCTGTTTATCTATGTTCTAATCAATATTACTCTACTACTTTTAAGGTTTTTTTTATCATCTACAATCCCACTTTGTGGAGGCAAGTTAAAATAAATAACACCTTACTCTGTATGTCTCTCCACTTTAAATCAAAAGTAATCACATGCAAGGTCTTCAATTCCACTTTTCCTTAGTCTCTGGAGCTACAATAACTAAATGAAGGGAGTATTATTAATAAAAAGTATAAAAATTTGATATTATGAAGGTATGAATTAGGATGAATCTAACAAAATCTCACGAGACTATTATTTTTCTAAGGAAAATTTGAAAAATACCAACAATTATACTCATTTTGTTAATAACCACCAACAGCAACAATTCTTCAAAACCTATAAAACTACCACCTCTTTTCCCAAATCCACCTACATGATGTCCCTGTGGGCCCCACGAACTACCTTCCCCTTAATTTCCCTCTATCTTCTCACGATACTCTCCCCGTTCTCCCCATTACTTCCCTCTCTAATCCTTTTTATTTCTTTTGGAAATTACTTTAGCAATATTTAGGGTTTAATCCTGTAATTTGTTCTTCAAGCCAAACGAAAATGCAAAACCAATGGCATAACCATGTTATCAAGAAGGTATGCTTAATTAGGGTTTATGAAATCAATTTGGGGGTTTTTAATTAAAATTAGGGTTTATAAATTACATTTGGGGTTTTGATTCTGGGTTTATTTTAGGGCAAATAAATGTTCATAATTACATAAAATTTAACATTAAAAATCCCTAATTAACACAAAACCCACTAATTCAAATCGCATCAAAGTACTAAACTTTAAAATTCAACACGCTAGTATAACATTAAAAAAAAACCCCTAATTTATAACTAATTACACAAAATTGCAAAATTGCAATAATTCAACACAATTATAAACTAATAGCATGTATTAACTTTGTACGGATTCTAGGGTTTACCAAAGTCAATTAAAAAACAAAAATTACCCCGATTTCAACACTAGAATCTAAACGTTGGTCTCCCAACTCAAATGGAACTGCGCTTTTTCATAGAGAAAAGTACCGAAAAAACCTAATTTTAGAAAGAAAGAAGAGAGAGAGAAAAAGGAGTGATGAAACTATGAAAGTAGGGTTTGACATTCAATTTGGGTACGTGAGAATTTAGTACTAAGTGTTAAAGAAGAGAGAGGGAAGTAATGGGGAGAACAGGGGAGAATATCGCGAGAAGAGAGAGGGAAAAGGAGGGAAATTAAGGAGAAGGTAGTTGGTGGGACCCACAATGACGTCATGTAGGTGGGTTTGGGAAAAGTGGTGGTAGTTTTTTTTTGGTTTTGAAGCATTGTTGGTGGTTATACACACACACACACACACACACACACACACACACACACATATATATATATATATGTATATATATATATATTGTTGGTGGTTATTAATAAATTGAGTATAATTGTTGGTGGTATTTTTCAAATTTTCCTTTTTCTAAAAGAGAACTCATTCAATGTAGTCAAAGTAGCATATGAGAATATAATCTTAAAATCAAAGTGTTACAAGTAAAAAAGTAAAAAACTAGGAAGTATAAGATTAATCACAGCCAAACAAACTGAGTGTTAAAATTTCTTTTTCCCGGAAAGAGTATAAACAATCCCTTTCCGTATCCTCATGTTCACTACAAAGAAAATATTGTCCATGTATAATCATTTGAAAAGGTGACAATTCTAAAAGTGAGCTCATTTTCTTCTCATGTTATATAAAATGATAAATTTCAAAACTTGGTGTGGCAATTGCCACCCCAAATCAAAACATAAATCTGCTTCTGATGTTCTTATGTTACATGAACTCAGTTACAATTATCAAATACACATTTATGTCCCCAAGTGCAAAAGTTATCCGTTTAGCAAATCATGGATATTTTGCCTTTACTCAAGTGCCAAATGCTTATAACCAAAAATAATTTTACCACGTAAGAATTTCGCATACTCATGCTAATATGGATGCACAAGTCTAGTACTCAGACTACAATTTAGCTGAAAATTCCCAAAGCTTCAAATGTCCATAATGGTGGTACATATGCATCAACAAGATCAAATATGGAAGAAACGCAGTTGTTCAATAGGGGTATTTGAATACAAATTTAAGACAAGGAAATTTCCATGAACAATCAGATGAGTGAAGACCACCAATTCTCCAGAAATTATTTATGAAAATAGCACTCCTGTATGTGATTGGGAGAAGACTCATGAGTATGAACCCAAGTATATACGAGATAGACTACACCAGCGCAGAAAGATATGTTGCTAGATTGCCAAATGCGGAAAGTCCTCTTCTTTCTCCAACCATAACCACCACATGATAACCAAGCATAAAATCTAACCGCTACAAACCCACATTATCTTCCACCCAAATCGCTAGCGCATCTCATACATGAAATTTATAGTTGCTCCAAAATGGTGGCTGAGCACACTAAAAACATCCTAACTACACATAAACTGAATGCATGAAAAGAGAGGTTGGCTCACAATGCTACATAATGTGAGATGCCTAGAAACTAAATGTACAAATTTATTTGGATAGAAGGCAGCAATTAGCATAACTTAAGAGGGATTGTAGCTTCCTCAAATAGCGACTCTTTATGTATCTCAAAAAATTTCTATCCAGAATTATCAATTTCAGACTTCAGAGAATTCACTAATTACAAATAATCTAAAAAACAATAAATTACCTTTCTTTTTTTTTTTTTTTTTGCAGTGAAGAGTGAGCAAAAAAGCCCTATATAATAGTTGATGATTGGCATCACGCACAAAAGACTCAAATTACACAACGTCCAAAACAATCACAGATTGTAAAAAATTCCTTGCTCTCTTGACCAGTTCTTACTTTTACTTTATATATATTTTCACCCTCTTTTCCCATTAAATATTTAATAATGTAAATGTCTGAAAATACAGTCAGGATGTAGGAATGACAGCCAGTGTGGTAACAAAAAAAAATAAATAAATAAATAAAACAATGTAAAATAAGCCCATCAATCATCATAGGTAAATTAAGTTCATCTGAGAAGCTGTCAGTACTGTGCAGCATAAGCACAGAATCTAACCGCTAAAAAATAACAATTAAAAAAGGAAGATGAGTACGTCTTTGTACGTAGATATGTACAACAGCATATGAATACTCAAACAAGAAACTATTGAAAGATAAAGAAAACATGCAACTTCCATGGGTCAAAAGATATTACATTTACCTTGAATGAGCAGGAGGGATAGACATTTTCTGGATCACACTACCTATGATAACTGCTTCCCGAAGATTGCAATTTCCAAACTGTGTGAACACAACCAAAAAAAATGGTTTTAAGAAAGCAGGAAAAAAGCTAAGTATGCAGAATTAACCTAGCTAAATGAACTTCTGTAGAATTAGAGAGCATAGCAGCAGTGGCAGCATGCACAGCTTAATCATGGGCTAAAATACCTTAAAAAGGGGGAGTAATATCCCTTTATTGAAAGCAGCTGGTTTGTACAGAGCTTTTTTCAAAGTTTGATATAACTCAAAATGCAACCTTTTATGTTTTCTGATGTCTTCCCGAACTCGCGGAAGAAGCACAAGCTTGTAAAATCTTTCCGCCCTCATTCGATTCATGTTGGAAGCAAATATTCTAGTAGCCTGGTATACTGCAGCAGGTGACCATTTTTCAGGTTCAGTTAGATGTAGAATCTCCTCCCAGCACTTCACAGAAGGGATATGTTTAAATCCTTTTGGTAATCTTCCTGCAGTATAAGTGCTTAAAACCTTCCCCATCCTATTCAACGATTGACATGAACATGTTAATTTCAAAAATGACAATTAATAAATGAAAAAAGATGAGCAAAGTATTCAACAAGGCAGGATACATACGTCTTGTAATGCTCTATAACCTTGTTATCTAATTTGTCCATCAGTTTCCCTCCTAGACAAAACAGCACATAGATAAGTCAGGCACAAATAAAAAAAAAATCATGAGAAAGGCAAATATCACAGTAATCAAATCTTCATATACTCAAATGAGATAAATTTTAAGGAAAAAAAAAAAAAAAAATTGAACTTTTACCAGAACTAAATTTCAGATATTCAATTAAAAAAAACCAAATTTTTACCAGAGGTCACAGCAGCATCTTTTTCTTTAATGCGAGCAGCAATAACATCCGCGAGTGTGCGCTGTGGACCAGCATCTTTGGACAAAAAGGCATCCAACAATCTCTCATCCTCTTCATTAATTTGATCCTGTTAATTAATTATTATAATAATTATCATGGACAAATTAGATAATTCTAAACTTCAACACATTCAACTATTACACAAAGATACTTCAAGAGTGAATTAGATTATACACAGTCGTTACAATTGCTATTTCTACGGAAAATATCAACGACTAAAGTAACTCTAAGATCTCACTGTCTTAGAATGCAAAGGGTGATCAGTTCAGTTCATTGTGTTATAATCATTAAATCAATTCTAATTATACATAAAACACAGTCATAGTTGTTAAATATAAAATCGCAAAATCTTGAAAATATTTGAATGCTAAAACTCAAAAAATCAACTATAAAATTCTAATGATGAACAGAGAATTCAGACCTCATAATCATTAATCTGGGATTGAGTCTCAGCGAACCCCGCAAAGTCATCAAAATCTTCCTCATCTTCATCCTCATTATGAAATACAGCAGAAAAGGAGGGAATATTAGGGTTTTGGTCATCATTCTCCTCGTCAACAATTTCCTTCTGCTGCTTAAACGCTTCCTTAAGAATTTTATCACTCATATTGTTGGAAATCATCTGCAAATTTCACCAACAAAATCAAAAACTAAAACCAAAATCATCCATACAAAAATTGAAGTAAATTTAACAGATATAACATCAAATTTTGCAGAGAAAAATTGTAAAAAAAAAATATGCCTGTTCTTGCTGTTGGTGGCGTTTGGAAGGTTTAGAGCGGTTTTTAGAAACAACGGTGGGTTGGTCAGCTAGGAAAGGCTGAGAATTAACCATTCTCTCTCTTCCTCTCTTCTTCCCCATTGTTAGCGTCTTCGGAGAGGGAGGAGTGCACTGCCGCCGGTGAGTGGTCTGCGGCCGAAAGAGGCGAGGAGAAGAGAGAGAAAGAGGAGGAATAAAAAACCTAAGTGAGAAAGGTGTTTACTGTTTAGTGAGAGACTGAAAGTTTTATTTGCTGCTCGTACTACTCCTCGAATACAATTAATTGGGTCGGTTTTTTCTTTTTTTTGTTTTTTTTTTACCAACTCTAGGCCATAGATACGTGAGCTCTTTCCCAAATTAAGGTCAAGAAGAACCGCAATTCCCAAATTGCAGCCAAAGTTTTAAGAATTCCCATTCTACCGTCCACGTAAGCACTGGTTAAAAAACCGGTTTTTTTTTTCCGGTCCAGGGTAAACCGCTACTTGAAGTAGCGGTTTCTTTGCAATAAACCGCCACTTCAAGTAGCGGTTTCTTAGTTTAAAACCGCTACTTGAAGTAGCGGTTTGTTTACAAAAAACCGCTATTTAATGTAGCGGTTTATTTTGGAAAACCGCTACTTCAAGTAGCGGTTTACTTTGAAAAACCGCTACTTGAAGTAGCGGTTTACCCTGGACTGGTTTTTTTTTCAAACTTGCATAATCACTCAAAAAAAAAACCTGCAAGTTGTGTACCTGTAAAACATGAGATATATAGCATATTTTCAACACAACCACCATAAATAACAAGTTTATGAAGATCTAAGGAAGTCGAAATTGCAAAGTCGAATATTTTTCAATTGATTAAATATAACAAAATCCAATTCTAAGCATTTACAAAAAAATTAGTTTAGTTCCAAAATATACACTTAGCTCGGGCGTTGCTTCTTCCCATGAGGTGACGATGAAGATGATGCAGCTGTCTCCTCTGGAATGTCATCCAGGCCAACTCCAACCCCAGACGTAGTGTTGCTACGCCGTCGGTTTCTCTGATACTGGCGATGCACTAGTGGAGGAGATGTCATGATAGTATGCTGAGAAGGAGTCGGTGGACGGAAGGCACGTGCTGAATGGCCTCCACGATGAGGTGGTGGTCTGATCGGCATAGTGTGCACAGTAGAAGATGAAGACGTGGACGGTCGAGGCTGCTGAATAAGGTGTGACTGCCCCACCCTAGACAAGGTTTGGCCACAAAATGATGTAAAACCCTGCATCGTCTGTATGGCAAATGGTATAGCCGTCTCTGGTGGCAAGTGGGAGATGGTCTCAGTAGCTCCCGATAGCTGGACGTGCAAATCAGCAAATGCATGTGCCTACATTTAAGTGTAGTTTTAATGTTAGTAAAATGAAATCAAAAACGTAAGAACTAGATTGAAATGAAGTGAAGTTCATACAAGCAGGAGGTCCGAGGTAGCTGGCTGGTAATGACTCGGGGGGCGCTCCTGCGAAGGTGGAGTAATGACCAGTCTCGTGATGCGACGGTACCAAGCCATGTACTCTGTCATGGCCGGGGAAGAAGTCCCAGTGAACGGGTATCCCTGGACGACTAATGCCTCTCGTCGACTCCACTCGTGTACATGGTCCGAATGCCGAATCTCCCAATTACGTTGTCCCCTTCGATCCTTCCTGTGTAGAGCAACGTCCGTGTCTACATCCTGTGGGATCGGCTGGTCTAACCCGAACTGACGAAGGACTCGGTCTGGGAGGTGGAACTCAACGACGTCAAAGCATATCAGAGGTGCCCGTGAACGCCAAATGTGCATGTCTGAGCGACAAATCTCCGGAAGTCGATCCATCACCGCCTCAGTATATGGCTGCCAAATCATCTAATTCCCAAAACAAGTATGTCAACATGTATATGACTAACATAATGGAAGAAATACAATGCACAAAAAAAAGAAACACCGATTGTACCTGGTCCTCGCGCTGATGGTCAAACGCATCTCTGTAGTATGGTAGTCCAGAAGCAGTATGCGCACACGATAGATGGACACGTAACCACCTGTAAAGACATGTTAATAATAATTCTTGAAAGATAGAATTGTAAGAACATGAACTTGAAGCAAACATTGTACCTGCACGCCAAAGGGTCAACACCTCGCTGATGCTGAGTCCCCAAAATGTCATCCTCATCCTCAGCCTCAGGGTCCTCCTGTGGCGGATCTCGAGGCCTCCTAATGTATGGTCGGCCAATAGTAATATGCTCCCACGACCACAACTGTAGTAGGATGAGCGGGCCTCCAATCTGTCTTGAATCTCGCTGACATCCTCGACATAGCTGCCGATACAAAAAACCAAGAGTCGCACTCCCCCAGCTGTAGGTCGAAGCTGTCCCCCAGTCTCGAAGGAACGGCAAGTAGTAGAGTGACACAGCATCGCCACTCTTGTCGGCGAACAGAATAGATCCCATGAGAGTGAGAATGTAAGCACGGCTATGGCGCTGAACTGTCAAGTCATCAGCTCCCTCTGGCATCTGTGAGAAGTGACGTCTGAACCACGTCAACTTCAAAGTAGATCCCTCCAGAAACGGCTTACCGTTATCATCATGGCCAGGTCGAACTCCCAGCAACTCCTCAACTAGGTCATGCCATCCCTCAAATGGAGGTCCAATGACAGGAGGGCCATGCACTCTCAGACCTAACAGGACGGAGACATCCTGTAAAGTAATGATGGCCTCACCTACCACTAGGTGGAAAGTATGTGTCTCCTGCCTCCACCTCTCAACCAACGCCGTAAGAAGAGATCGATCAAGCAAAAACCCTCCTCCCAAAATCCTATGTACACCGTAAAACCCAGCAAGCCTAACGTACTCTAGTACTCCGCCATCTACCCTCCACTCACGTCCCACGCTGACCATATGCTCCCTAACTGAGAGAACTCTATCAGCTACGCCACTCCAAACATCGTGGCTCCTATGGGAAGTCTGCAAGCGTAGAACAGATGGATCAACTGGGCCTGGACGAATCACCGGCTCCATGGGACCTACACGAAAACAAAAAATTGAATTAATGTTAAGCGTTCGAGAAAAAAACATAAATATTAAACAAGAATATATAATTAATCATGTTACCCAGATGATCCAAATCCACCAATAAGAGTAGGACATGTCTTCTTGTTATGCCCAGGTCGCCGACAAACACTGCATGCCTTCTTCACACGATTGGGACGCTCATCCATTTCATTTCGAATTCTAGTGGACCGTCGGCCTGGGCCTCTTTTCAAATCTGGGTTGGCAATAGTAGTAGGACCATTGTAAGCTAACCAGTGGCAAGGATCAGGAACTGGTGCGAAACACTTCGCGTATGAACGCCTATATTCGGCGGTCATGAAAAAAGAATCCACAAAGTCTGCATGTGATAGGCTTCTATGACGACAAACTGCTAGTACATGAGAGCATGGGAGCTTGTATATTCTCAATTTCTCACAAGTACATGTCTTGCTCAACAGATTCACAGTGTGGGAGTTACCACCTTTACCAGCTTTTCTTCTTCCACGACCGGTCCTAACCTGATACAACCCGATGGCATCATAGTCAAAAGCAACAACCTCATGGTGCGCGGCTTTCTCCATGTTGGCTTCTATTGTCTTCTTAGCCTTTTCCGATAACTCATGGCCCTCTTCAAGTCTTCTTTTACTCCAACTTCTTCTAGTTGCAAAATAGGAGTTAACCCGGAAAAAGGTCATTTGCACTAAAGCGGTTATCGGGAGACATCGAGCCCCCTTTAAGACTCCGTTGAAAACTTCCGACATGTTTGTAGTCTTTACACCAAACCTGAAACCACCATCATGATGAATGGACCACTTACTGTACGGAATTTCCATCAAGTACCTACGGGCCTCTACATTCAAGTCACCAATTTTGTTGATGTAGTAATCAAACTTCTTCTTCTGCCTTGCAGTAGCTGCTTTGCCAAAGAGGTTCTTTATGACGACACTTTTAAATTTTGAGTTCACATTAGAAGCCAAGTGTCGTGTACAGTACTTGTGGTAGGCATTGGGCTCCTCCCAACCACTTCCAACTTCTTCCATTGCTGCTAAAATACCAGCATGTCTGTCAGATATCACACATAGCCCTTTCCTATCTGTAACTCGAGCACGAATACAAGCCATGAACCAAGACCAACTATCATTGTTCTCTCCTTCGACAACCGCAAAAGCAAGGGGGAATAGTTGAAAATTGGCATTCGTTCCCATAGCAATGAGTAGAGTGCCTTTGTATTTGCCATATAAATGAGTGCCATCAATGGTGATAAGGGGTCTGCAGTGACGGAATCCATCAATACATGGCTTGAATGCCCAAAAGACTCGTTGAAAAACATGTGTTCCAGGAACCGTACACTCTAACAACCTCCACTCAACAACAGTTCCAGGATTTGATTCCTTGAGAGCTTGCATGTACTTAGGCAACTGTTCATATGAACCCTCCCAACCCCCATAAATGAGTTTTATTGCCTTTTGTTTCGCTAGCCATGCTCTCTTGTAGGTTATTTGGAATCCATCAAATTTCTCTTTCACAAGTTGCACCATTGTCTTGATTTTCAATGAAGGATCAACGCGAATGACATCTAGAAGAGCATTGCAAACGAACTCGGAAGTCAGTAGCTTATGATCTCCCGAGTCGATGTCACCAACACAGTTACTTGCATGAGGGCCGTTGTACCTCACAATTTTAAACGTAGAGAGTGTTGGATCTTTCACTCCTCTAAGCCTCCACGAACAACTACATTGTTCTTTCCTCTTGCACTCAACAACATATTTCTCTGGCTCTGCCTCCACAACTCGAATTGTTTGATTTCTAGCTATGGAGTAAGATTTCACAGCATCTTTCAGTTGTTGCAATGAGTCAAACTGCTGACCAACCTCAAATTCTCCCCCATTGTTATATGTCTCATTTCCTAACCAAGACATCCATGAGTTATTCAAACGAGGATCAACTTGCGCCACTTCATTGAAGTCTGAAGTGGGGGCGCTTCCTTTAATTGCCTTATCACGAGCTTCAATTATCTCTTCATCATCATCTTCATCAGTGTCATTCATCTCTGCATCGCCAAATACATCAACATTGTTTGGGTCAAGAGAATCAAGAATGCCTTGTGGTTCTGTGCTTGTCGAGGTTCCAACATTAGGCGATGAGGCCGGAGACCTAAACTGTGAGAGATGGTCATTGACATAATGTGGATCAACAAGCATTCTTGTGAATGACCCTATGCCCACACTTTGAACACTAGTGGAAAACGGTTGATCCACACTACCAAAAAAATCCATCCCCGGAAAGGAACCAGTGTTAGTTTGCACAACTGGCTCCTTTGGGACTTGTTCAATGAACAATTGCATTGCAACAGAAGAACTCTGAGTCACAGCAATCCACATAGCTCTAACAGCGTTGTCGTCATTTAACGGAATTGCAACATATGCCCCAGCCATAGGATAACGCATAACCACCTTCAACTCCACACCTCTAGGATCAACACTCAATTCTTCATATAGCTTGTTCAGAACTTGTGAATATGTCATCGCAGAATGTACAAACACAAATTTTTGATTCCCACCCCTATACGTTATATCGCTATCTTTGTGGACAATTTCTCCACCCCAATAGCAATATAGAGGGTAGTTCGGAACCTCCATGTTTCATTCTAGAAAAGACCATTATTAATCAAAGATATTAGATTGCAAAAATTCATTAACAGTGTGGCAATGTCCTAACATCAAGCAAGCAAACTACACAATTATAGCAACCTAAACTGAGCTATGAAGGTCTTAATACCTCTTGAAGCTCAACATGGGCATAAGTCATGACTACATGTACTTTGAGCTCATGTACTTTGTGTATAGAAGCTCTATTTTCACTTTCAAAATCAGCAATTATAGCAACCTAAACTGAGTAATGTGATCGAAACCATTAATAATTCTACAAGGGTTATATGTAAGGTAAGTAAATCAACAACAACAACCAAAACCAACCACAAACATACATACAATTCTGAAACTCAATAACAACAACAATAAACAAGAACACTAACAACAACAACACAACCAAAACCGAAACTCAATAACAACAACAATAAACAAGAACACTAACAACAACAACACAACCAAAACCGAAACTCAATAACAACAACAATAAACAAGAACACTAACAACAACAACACAACCAAAACCGAAACTCAATAACAACAACAATAAACAAGAACACTAACAACAACAACACAACCAAAACCGAAACTCAATAACAACAACAATAAACAAGAACACTAACAACAACAACACAACCAAAACCGAAACTCAATAACAACAACAATAAACAAGAACACTAACAACAACAACACAACCAAAACCGAAACTCAATAACAACAACAATAAACAAGAACACTAACAACAACAACACAACCAAAACCAACAACAACACATACATACAATTCTGAAACTCATTAACAACAACAAACTCAATAACAACAACAAACCCAATAACTGAATACAAAAAATAATTAGGGCACTTACCACAAACAAGAAGATCAGCACGTTTCTTCTGAAATTAGCGAAGCCGACCACTAAAGTCGAACCCTCGGCGTCAACAGCGGCGACCTTCGTTGCTGAGGAATGCTCCGGCGGCGTCGGTGGATTCCTTGGCTGCGCCGGCTTCCGTTGAAGGAGGTGTGATTTTGGTGGAAGGCGTGGATGGGATTTTGGTGAGAAGACGAAAATGAAAGAGGAAAGTGAAATCGGGAAATTATACCTGCTAGAAAACCGCTACTTGAAGTAGCGGTTTATTAAACAAAAACCGCTACTTGAAGTAGCGGTTTATTAAAAAGAAACCGCTACCTGAAGTAGCGGTTTATTAGTAAAAACCGCTACTTCAGGTAGCGGTTTTGCTGTAGACCGGATTTAAAATTTCTTCCCCCTGAACCGGTGACGTGGACGGTAGAATGGGAATTCTTAAAACTTTGGCTGCAATTTGGGAATTGCGGTTCTTCTTGACCTTAATTTGGGAAAGAGCTCTAGATACGTAGCGACTAGGCAGTGTGAGTTTAACAAGCTTTTTTTGTTTTTACTCCCTCTTGTTCATATTAAAAGCAACACTTTTTATTTTCGACCGTTTTCTAATAATTGCAACACTACTATTTTTTACAAGGGCACACCATTATTTTATAATTTCTCTCTCCCACTAACCCCACTTTCACAAGGGGAAGTAGTAATGTAGGAACGTTATGCATGTAGAAATGCATAATAAGGGGCATTCATGTAATTACACATATGTACAAATAAATGTATATTCTGGTATCATTGGATGATAAAATAATATCACTGAACATACGGTGATACTATATATGCATATAGTGGTATTATATATGCATTCAATTGTACTAAATTTATGCATAAATGGTACCGTTGAAGATTCAATGGTACTATATAAGTTTCACTGGAACAATCAACATATGGTCCCCCATCACGTGAGACAATCTGATCAAAAAAAGGTGGGGTCCACCTACAAACTTTTCTCTTCCTATCTCTCTCCTCATTTCAGTAGGGTTTTGCGGTGTCCAACACCGTGCGGATACAAAACTCACCCAAAGATCCGTGCATAAATTAAAGCAACTAAACATGCATAAAATTAATTAAACAATAAACACATAATAATAGAGAGAGAGAAAGTGGAAAAGACGATCATACCCTTGATGCGTGTTTTCCACTTAGCACGAGCACGAACTCACGAATGGAGAAAGAGCCTCAAACACGACCCCTCCAACGTAGTCCACCCACGCGCCCAAACTTGGCTAATATTACCGGCTAGGGTAATATTAACACTACTAACAAGAGGATCTCTTCATAAGGTTTTCTTAATGGAGATGGCTTGTATAAAGTTCAACTCTTGCAACAATTCCCAAGGAAGGCCTTGGGTATTTATGGAGAAGCATCTCCATCCCCTTGATTTCCAATCAATGTGGGAGTTTGCAAAGTTGAGAAATAAATGCATTTAATTTAATTCTAAAATAAATTAAAATGCTAATAACAAATAATCAAACAACAAGTGACACATACATGGAAGGGTTAGGTGAGGACCACAAGGGAGAGCCACACGGCCTCCTTGTTCCCCAAGCCACCAAACCCACCTATCACAAACAAGCTATGACCGGTCAACATCCTTGGGCACCAAGGAATGGCCGGTCAAGGCCTCGTGTGCTTGGCTTGGGCCTTCCAGCCGCACTACAAGCCCACCGCACTTGTTGGGTTGTTGTGCTTTGCTTGGCAGCCATGTCGGGCCTGCTAGCATGCCTCGTAAGCTAGTACTTGTTGCGGGCTTGCTAGCGCGCAAGGCTAGCAGGCCTGCTGCGAGCTGCTGGCATGTGGGTTGCTTGGTGCGTCACGCTGGCTGCTGCCCTCGCAAGCTCCATGCTCTTGCGGGCTATTGGTTGCTTGCGTCTTGCTTGGTGCTTGCTGCAGCATGTGCTAGCCTAGCCCTCGTACGACTATGCCGATACGAGGCTAGGGCTATGCACTTTGACTTTATTATTTGATGTTTGACTTATTTGTGCGTCTCGTAAATTCCTAGAATTCAACTCGACGTTCGGATTCAACGCTCGAAGCTCAAAATCTGACGTCGGAGTACGTATCCTTTTGTTTGATGTATTAAGGCCTTTAGCTTAGTTCGTTGCCTTAGTTTAGTTGCACGCTTGGGTGTGACCCGTCGGGTTCAGTTAAAGGAAAGTTGTGAGATTAATATAATTAATCTCACTGACTGGAGATGGCCTCTAGCCCGACTTTTCGATCACTTGACTTTACTCAATAATTAACTCCATCATATATTCTGAACCCTCTGTCGAAATAATACACTTGTTCAAAGGATACCATTCCTTTCAATCTCCCACTTGTCCTTCCGGACAAGTGTGTTGTTTGTGTATAGCCTATTTCCTATGTCACTTAATGCCTCATCATGAACTATAAGGTAAGATTCTTCATCATCCTTATTACGTCCAGAAGTGTTTCTCGATTTCCGAGTTCGACTGTCAATAAGCAGATGATTTCTAAAATCCATCTGAGCACGGCCATGCATTTTCACAGTCTCGCTTTTCAAGAGGCCTTGTAAACAACAAAGACATGTTCCCTACTGTTAATAGGGGGACATTCTCAGTCTTGCATTGTTAGCTTCCCTTACTAAGAGTCCCTAGCCACCCGAGTGTTGCCTTTATAATCCCCTTGTACGGTAGATGTTTGACAACATTAAAGCGGACTAGTACTCAAACAAGAGAACTTACAATACTCATGGTTGAGGAAAGAGGTTCCGATATAATTAATAAATATACTTATGACAATTATTAGATCTCTTAAAGTATTCTCATAGGTTGATTCGGTATAGTTCCAAAACTAATACATGTGCAAATGATTTATGACATTCTAGTCCTTGTAGCACAAGAAATGGTGCTATAAATCATACTACACACTAATCTCGCGCGGTCAATAGTCGTCCAACTTTCAAATGACCTCGATTAGGGATTGTTTCGATATGATATTCAATGTTCACTTAATAGGTGTTTCTTTATCCAAGACATTGTCTCTATACCCTATTTTGAATATTCTCAAATCGAATGGACTCATTATTTAATTCTAAACCACAGTTAAATAGAAGTGGAATAATAATTTGCAAAAAATTAAAATTACTCCATAAATAAATGGTTCAACCTAGTTGTTTACCTTAAGATCTCAAAACTTAACTAAAACACATAAACGGGAAAATTAAAGCCAGTCTCCAACATGCCTAAGTCCCATTGCCTCAACGTGCTTGTTGTGTTTCACTTGAGGCAAAGGTTTAATGAGTGGATCGGATACATTGTCGTTCGTTCCAATCTTGCAAATTTTGATTTCACCCTCAGACTTCCATTTTCTTATCATGTGAGAAATCGCCTCATGACATGTTTGACTTTATGATGTTCCCTTTGCTCTCTTGCCTGAGCAATAGCCCCACTATTATCACAATAGAGGTCTATCAGTCCCTTTATTGAGGGCACAACACCAGTTTCATCAACGAACTTACGAATCCAAATTGCCTCTTTAGCTGCTTTTGAAGCTACTAAGTATTCGACTTCAGTTGTAGAATCTGCAGTCGTGCTTCTCTTAGCACTCTTCCAACTGAACGCTCTTCCATTAAGACAAAACACGTATCCTGATTGCGACTTGAAGTCGTCTTTGTCAGTCAAGAAGCTTGCGTTGGTATAACCTTCAACAACCAAATCCTTACTTCCACTATAGACCAGAAATTTATCCTTGTTTCTTTTCAGGTACTTTAGGATATTCTTGGGCACAGTCTAATGCGCCTCTCTTAGGTCTGATAGATATCGGCTCGTAGCACTCAAGACATACGATACATCTGGCTTTGTACATATCATGGCGTACATGATCGATCCAATAAGCGAAGCATATGGAATCTGACTCATTCTCTCTCGCTCGTCAAGCGTCTTTAGACACTGTTTCTTGTTGTGAGTTACGCCATGAGACATGGGTAGGTGGCCTCTCTTGGC